ATATTTCAGTATATCACTTCATTTAATTATTGATAAAGTAAGTAAGTCCTGAGAACCTAATCCATCATCATTAATTAACTTCTTTTTTTTTTTTTGGTTTCTCGCTTGATATCGGGGTTTCGTCTCAATTAATCCGGATCTAACTCGCGTCGCGCACTTGAAAATGTGGGTGAGTCTCTCAGCGAGGACTGCTGCGTACACAAGATCTCAAACTCGAGATCTTATTTAAGCTGAAATAAACCGCTTACCACTTGATTTAATCCCTCGTTGATATTAATTAACTATTTTGTAGTATGTCTAAAACATTTATTTTTCTTTTTTTTTTCAATATTTAAAATCAAAATATTATAAATTAACTTCCATATATCTCCAACTATTTTCTCTATTTATAATTTTAAAAGCATAACTTTATATTAACTTTAAACATTTAAAAAAAAATTAATTTTTTTAATATTGGCATATGACTTATATCTACACCTTACATTTTGTTTTTCTGAATGGATAAGTGTGTGAATAATTTTCACTTAACAAATTATAGAGACGGAGAATGCCCTACATGTGTCAGCTGCGCAGGCATGCCTTAATCCATGAGAAAAAGGGGAGTCACCATTAAGGGGGCTTGAAGTCAGCGGCTAAACAGGCTACTTTCTCACGCCTTACCGTTACGCATGGGCATCTTTGAAGCTAAGTAAAGAGAGATACATATACATAGAGGCACACAGTTAATTCTCTCTACCTAAAACCCCTGGATTCGTTGCTTCAGAGACTTTAAGCCACCAGACTCCACCACCGACTTCCTCTCAAATTTACATTTAAACATGAATTGGCGTTGAATGTTCTCATCAGACCTCAATTAATGTTGTCAGAATCCTTAATTAGTAACCTTAACAAAAATACATTTCCAGAATATTGCTTGTTTTGCAAATCAATACATTCATTCCTGTTAGAAGAAGTACTGCATATATCTGTATACTTCTTCATTACCCCACCTTCCACTTCTTGCATTCACCAAACTTCTGGTGAATTAATTATACGTATTGTAATTTATGGCTTAATTAAGGACATTTGATTCTAGTTCTTCCAGTCAAGACAACATTAAAGATCAAATTGTATATAATCATTGAAACAACTCACAGTGTGTGTGGTCCAAAATCGAGATTGTCAAACATTAATCAAATGGGGTTGTTACATTGGATATCACATTGAAATTTAATTATGTTCTAATTCTTCAGATTCCAAAACTTTTCACCTAGCTTGTGTCATGAAGTCCAAGTTAATCCCTTATTCAAATCTTTACAGCTGGGTTTCTTTCAATTTTCTTTTACTGCAAACAATATGATAAAATTAGTTCATAACTTATACATGTGGGATCCAATTCATGTTAATTAATTACTAAATTTGGATTGTCATCTCCAAATTAAAGTATTGCCCTTTGCATCCAAGAAAACAAGGTGACTCCCAATTGGATGTAGAGTATCAAATAATTAATTAAGGGACCCCAAGGACACAAAATATTCCAACATGAATTAATTTATGTACACAACAAACCACATGCATATATGCATTTGAAATTGAAACCTACAATTCAGGCTTACCTAAAATCATTGAGAAATTATTGGGCATAAGCAGAATATTTTTTTGTTAAAATGTCATTTTACTGATATCTAAACAAAAAACATAAATTAATTTAATTCCGAGCTGACCTTGGCGTTTGCTTCCTCTTTTTCTTCGCTCTGGCGGCACCATTCGTCGGTTGTAACTCAAATGACTATAATACCCCATTTAAACAAAAATTAAATGTTTTTAAATATTTATTATTCCTAATTTCTTTTATGTTAAACTTTATTCCTAATTGGTTAACAAATAATGTATAAACAAAAAAAAAAAA